ATGTTGGAACCATCATGAGCCACCATCATAACAATATAGAAACTTGAGTCTATTTAAATAGACTCAAGTTTCCCGCCATTAAAAAAAAACTCAATGCTAGGTAACAATAAAAAAAAGTATGGATATAGTTCTTTTAATAATGAATGTTTCATTTTTACCAAGAAAAAAAATTTCTTAAATCTCAAGAGAAGAAATAGTTATCAAACTTCGATCGCCAGGTTTTTTGTCAAATTTGTAAGAAACGACCGCAATAACCTCCTTTCCCCTACATTAAAAGAAAAAAGAAATTGCAATTTATTTTTCATTGGCATTTTACTTCCAATAATTTCGTAAAGACCAACTGAAATGTTAAACAAATAATGGGTTATTCATAGGATCTAAATATAATTGCCGGTTTCAAAAATGTTAAGGAAGAAACTTTATAAAGAGCCCTAATTCTCGGTACCAAAATAATGAAACATTAGATTTCCAAAGGACACCATTTTGGACCCGTGATGAAGGCAATAAGAAATTTTCTGGGGCAATAAGATCTTTTCAAAAGCAATAAGATGTTTCTACATATTGAGTTGTTATTTATTAGCAATTAAATAAAATAACACATAACTGGAAGCAATACCAAGGAACAGTTTAATGCAAATTTAATGTTAAAAAAAATTGGATTTTTAGTTGTTACTGAACAAGCCTTTCATATTTATGACTGAAAAAAATATAACTCAGTTTTCCCATTTCTTAAACGCAACTTTTAAAGTAGTTGCTCAAAATATGAACATAAACCATTAACTTTTTCCGTAAAGTGATTATCACTTTCTTTTCATTTTATTAACTTTACGAATTCTAATATCCATAATAGAATAGAGTGATCAAAATAAAATTTAAAAGAAAAAAAAATCTGTACCTTCTTTGATATTGTCCCAGTAAATAACAAGATAATCATCTCTATCAGATCTATTCTGTTCATGGTAGAATCCAATGGCGTGTATGAATTCGTGAACCACAGTTCCATGCCAGCCGCATCCTTGACCAAGAGACAGTGGTTGTGCACCCCCTGTTCTTCCCACGTGAGAATAACATCTGAAATTCAATAAATAATTGTAACGATTAATAACTAAAATTGAAAAAAAAAAATGAATCAAAAATTTACATCAAAAATTTACAATGAATCAAAATGATGAAATGATTATATCTTTTATTTTCCGGATTTTGTAAAAAATTCTATCCTTTTTTTTCCAGTTGTTTGTTATTTTTTTTATTATTATTTTTCTTTCCCCCCTCCCCTTTTTTCATATGTCTGTAATTTTCCTTTGTTTTATCTTCATTTTGAACTTATATGTATAGATATATATGTAATATCTAAAATACTAGCTTAATAAAATTAAAAGGATCTTTTGAGACTAAACTTAAAAAGAATTATATCTTATCTGCAAATAAGCTTATCTGGTTTATGAGAACATTATAATCTCCTTCACATACTTAACTTAGCTCTTCGCGTATATTTTAAGTTTCATTGAATAGCGATGAAATCTTTATTTATAAAATGAGTCCATACCGCGCAGTAAAATATCTTAAAGAAGCCGAATTCCCATTAAAATCAAGAACTATGTTGAGATATTAATTCATCTTAAAATCTTACGACGCCGGTTCTAACAAAGAGGCTCTGGATATTACAGATCACATGACATGAACGAAATATTATATGTTACAAAGTGTACACTTATCTTTTGGAAATGGAAGTATAAACTTGAGCCCAGGAGCTCTGCTCCAATTGTAATAATTGTATATAAATTGTAAATAGATTTCCTCATTCTTTTCCTCAGTAAAAGCATAGAAAATTCATTATGTTGTCATCCTTATAGAAAAGGATATTAAAAATACTAAAATATGAATGCAAATATTATAAACTGCTATATTATGGTAAATTAAGGCCACGGCTCAAGAGTTTACGAGAAAACACGAGAAGGAGCACTACATATATATGTACTATTTTTATTTGAAATCATTCATTTGCTATATTTTTAATATTTAAGCAGCATATTAACTAGGAAGCATTTTCAATATTTTTTTGTATTAAAGTAGTAGTCAACTGCGAATATTCAGAACTCACATTATGACAGTAGATTTATTTTTAAAAAAAAACATAACAATTTTAATGGGATTTTGTCTATTCATAACATTCAGAGGTTTAACATAAAACTCACCCTTGACCAGGAAAAATTCGCAAGTAGTCTTTCTCGTCTGTTCTTTCTTTAAATCGGATGCATGTAGTTTTTTCAATGTGCGTTCTAGCTGCCCATAAAGTACTACTAACTGAAAATTTCAAGAGAAATATAAGATGTTAAATATGCCGTATTCTTTAAAAAAAAGAATTCTCATATATTTGTGTGAATATGAATATCTTTAAGAACTGAGGTAAACAAAAGTAATAATATCATTTTTTTTTTAAATTTTTATTTCTGTAAGTTTATGTACAAAGACATGCTAAAATCATCTATAAGCCAAGAACCTTTCTTCCAGGTCATTAAATGAAACTTCTTTTTCAGGTCTGTTCATTTCTGAAGCTGAAACAGTTCTGAACTGAACTGAATTTAATACCATTACCATTAATACTCAAAACCAGAGCCATTACCCATCATTACCATTAAAATTCATAACCAGAACCATTACCCATTATTACCATTAAAACTCATAACCAGAACCATTACCCATCATTACCATTAAAACTCATAACCGGAACCATTACCCATCACTACCATTAAAACTCATAACCAGAACCATTACCACGGCTCCAGAACTTGCAAACCTTATTATCAAGGCTTTTGGAAGACTCTAATCTTTGCACTAGCATAGACACGACAACAACAACATTACCCATCATTACCATTAAAACTCAAAACCAGAGCCATTACCCATCATTACCATTAAAATTCATAACCAGAACCATTACTCATCATGACCATTAAAACTCATAACCAGAACCATTACCCATCACTACCATTAAAACTCATAACCAGAACCATTACCATAACCATTATCATAACCACAACCATAACAAGGTTTGCAAGTTCTGGAGCCGTAAGCTCCAGAACTTGCAAACCTTGTTATCAAGACTTCTGGAGGACTCTAATCTTTACACTAGCATAGACACGACAACAACAACATTACCCATCATTACCATTAAAACTCATAACCAGAACCATTACCCATCACTACCATTAAAACTCATAACCAGAACCATTACGCATCATTACCATTAAAACTCATAACCAGAACCATTACACATCATTACCATTAAAACGTTTCGGTGTTTATAATAAGGAAGTGAAAAAGAAAATTGAAATAAAAAAGCGACCACATTTTTTTTCTGAAAAAACTGAAGGGACATCCATGAAAATTGGAAAACGTCATTAAGAAGATGAAATTCTTCTTCATTCAACTTTCATGAAGTCTTCGCTGCGAAAAACATCTCGCAGCTATGAAAAAGAGTTTCATTCTCATAAATCAAGACAATGCTTTTAAAATAGAAAGTGGTAACTAGTACGTGAGGAAAACTATTATAAGCTACTAATTTTCTCTCACAATAGAATTTTTCCCTCTGCAGGATCAGCATGTATGAAGAAGAGGGCTTTTCAACATTAATATTTTTAAAATTATTACACATATTAAATTAAAAATTCTGAGCATTTAAGAAAAATATACATAGTTATTGTTTACAGTTACAAATATTTGTCTCAAAGTTTTTTTGTGGCACCATTAAATACTTTTAGTATTCTGTAAATAAGCTCTTTTGCTCGTACATTTTGATTTTTAACTATGCCAATGGTTTCTAATGGCTGCACAAACGCTTTCTTTAAGCTTTTACCATCGATAGTTTTTAAACAATGTCTTTGACACTGGAATCGCGTGGATAAGGCGCGAAATCTTGGTGGCCGTGTGATTTAGCTTAAATTTCTTGTTACCGTATACCCCAAGACATTGTTTACATACTATCAATGCCCAAAATATCGTATGAATTTACACGAATATGCAACGTAAGGAACTTTTGATAGTATAAAACTACAAAGTGTGTTGAGCGAATTTAACTACAGATTTAATACTTGCCGTTTTACTAAATGGTCATACAAAAAACATTTGAAATTGAAAAAAAATATGTGTGTTTTTCTTTTCAATTTTATGCACCACTTATTGTATACTAACAACGTTTCATTATTATAGATGTGTAACCGTTTCAAATACTACCTGGAATAATGAATAGTAGACAACAAGTAAATATTTTGTGCAGGAAAAATACTTTTCATAGAAGAAAAAAAAAGTATTCTTACAGACTGTCTTTTTAAGACCTGGATCTTCAACATAAGGAATAACTCCGTTTGGCCATAGTTGCTGAGGATGGATTGTAGCACTTCGATCCTAGAATAGGTTAAAAAAAACTGTAATTTATTCATTTAACATGCAGTATCTTCGATAGGTAAACAGTTTTACAACGCAAGCTATTTTGACATTTATTTATATATTTTATGCATAAATTATCGCTAATAAATATCGATATTTATCGATACGATATTGTGAATATTGATGCATTTTATTTGGGTACCGAAAATAGCGACCTATACAAGAATCACAAAAATTAATTAAATTGGAAAAGTATTGCCATTGATTGTTAAATATATATTTTTTTACAATACATTTCGATAAAATTCGTACTTTTCAGTTGAACAATATTGTGTTGAAGGCAACTCAGAAAAGCAGTACCCCAATGTTTTTTTTATAATGATTTTGACAATTACTATGCTACCGTAAATGACCGAAATCACGAGAATGTCGATTGTCACCGGTGAATGTCAGCAATTACATAGTCGCTTTGGTGAATGTCCGAAATATTTGTTAAATTAGATCTGATATTGATTTATTCGTTGATATTATTATATTTATTCGATATTTTAACATCTTCTGAGGATAGATTGGGAGAAACAGCAGTGTTCGGAGTACCGGTTAAATGCATACTGGGCAGTGGCACTGAACCTCAAAAAAACAATCAATGTAGGGTATGCCGGGCAGTGGCACTTAACTAGACCTAGTATATACTTTTGACATTTACCAAAGCGACTATGTTATTGCCAACATGAAAGGAAACTGGACACAACACAGATAAGAAGCATGTGAATAAAGTGCCAATTATTGATTTTGAAGAATGCTATTGCCATTATCCACCTTTGTTAGAAATAGCAGATGGTAATAGAAAATAGTTAAATAAAGTTACTAAATTTATTTTAATTTGTTTGGTACATAATAATATTGTTTAGATGCATAAATATAGTACATAATATGTATTAATAGTACGCAATCAATCGTTTTCCTCGTATATCGGATAAGATGAAATCTGGTTAACATTAATAATTATGATAGTCCCTCCAATTTCTTGTTATCAAGATACGACTGTATAGATCAGAGATGGGCAAACTATGGCCCGCGGGCCAACTGTGGCCCGTCGGAAGGTTTTATCCGGCCCCACGGATAGAATTTTAACTTGCCGATCTATGGCGAATATAAACAAGATACATTATACATCCATTATTTTGTCTACTTTGTTTAAACAAAGTACTGATGACGTTTTTACTTTCTCTATTGGTGGAATTGATGGAAATAGTTTGCACAGACAGCTTCAATTGGCAAAATGTTGAAAGCAGAAGTTCTTTATAGAATAGCCGCAGATAAGCTTCAACAAGCGTTTGTCTTTCTCGAGGATCAGATATGGAATTTAACTTAGGTGAATTGTGCTTTACATGTGACAGACAGCGCATTTTAAGCTCCAACTAGCGGATTTTTCTGCCGTTGCGAGTTCTAACATTATTTATTGCGTATGGAAAGATTGTACACTATTGTTGTTTCTAAACATGCCGAAGTGTGAGTTTTGCAAATCGTTACCAAAAGCTAGTTTCCAAAATTTGATATCTCTTGCTTCATCTTATATAAGTGAACAAGTGTTTTCAACTTTGAACCTTAGAAAAAATCATTTCAGAAGTAGACTAACAGACAAGCATTTAGTCTTGTTCCTTAAAACTGCGCACATCTCACTTCGAACCTCAATATAAGGAACATCTTAAAATGAAAACGCAATTTTATTCATCTCATTAAATATTTAAATTAAAACTTGTATATCGTTTTTTTTTATTTATTTTAGAACTTTTTACTTGGCCCACCAAACTTTTTTTCTCGATTTTTTAACCACGACCAAAAAAGTTCGGCCATCCCTGGAATAGATAAATATAAATATATAGATAAATTTATTTAAAAAATACACATTTCTTACAAAATCAGAAACACCAATAATATCCCCTCCTAATAAATCCGGATTTTCCAGTGGCAGGTCTCCAATATAAACTAAAAAAGAAAGAATATTAAAGAATGTAGTATTATCTACTAATGCAATAAATTTGGTTTCAGAGTAAAACAACCAGAATCACTCCACAATTTATCTACAATCAAAACCAAACTTATTTCATTATTTCACGCATGCGCGTTTTATTCTCACAATAAATTTGTTATACATCCCTTCTTGCTAAGCTCACCAAATTATATTTCGAATAAATAATTAAAAGAATTCTTCTAAATATACAATTATAAATTTTGGAGTCCTTTATTCTAACCTAAACTCATAATCAAACCTGAACGAAAAGATAAGAAAACGTTGAAAAAAGAGCATCGTATCAAAGGAAGCAAAATGTTGGTAGTGAACAAGAGTTTTTTTTTTTTAATAGTGTTTAATTGAGTCAGAAACGTATTTCTGGCCAATTTCCGTTAATAAAACGCCCCTCTTCCTTGTGCTAATTATGAAGCATAAATAAAACCAATGAATACAAATAATGCGCAAATTAATTACCATAGTTGAAACAAAAATTTTAAATATGCTTGTTTATATATATGAGATGCTTTCTTTTAACCTTTCATTTCTTCGTAACGTTAAGCTTATTTCGCTTATTGCCAATGCGGGAAAAGAAATTTCATGGGTTTTATAATATATATATATATATATATATATATACATACCTTTTTTCACAAAGAGACTGCTTTTTCTATTGCCTCCTTACAGAGCTCGTCTCAAATTNTGTCTGTGGATGCGTCTTTTATAGACTCCTAAACCTTCCAGCCGAAATCGATGAAGCTTTTCATACAGATAGTTTGAATCACGAGGAAGGTCTCTGTCGACATTAAAACATTCTAAAACGTTCGAGCAGGATGAGCGAAAAACGAAAGGGAATTTTCTGATTAGTTAAACGTTAGCCATTGTTTTATATTTAATTGTAGAATCCCACATATTTCAAAGATAATTTCTAGCTTATAGCGCTATTTGATCAAAGAAATTTGTTTATCGCAGGTATTTAAATATTTGAATATTTTATTTTCGCTACGTCAGATAAATTCAATGAACAACATCACGTGGTAGCCCGCTTGATCTACATCACTAAATTTATACTTTTAAAGATGACTGATACCACTAGCTTTTTTTTTAATATTTATAATATTTCTTTTAAAGCGTATATCTAAAAAAACTATTTATTTAAAATCAACGGTAATTGGTCACTTGCACTTCAAGAGAAAGATCACGGATACCTACACATTTGATCTATGACTTCAGTGCCAGCTGAATGCTTATAAGCAAAATAGCGTGGTAAAGTTGAGCTGAGTTTCTCCACATAAGTTAGAATGTTAATTAACGTGAAGCTAATTTAATATAGTGTCGTATAGCACGTCGAATTTGTTGAAATATAATTCTTTCTCATCTATGTTCTTTACATTACTTAGATTTATTATATATGCATTTTCTTGTAATAATGATATATATTTGCTTTGTGTACCTGCCATCTTGGATACATAATTTGCATGTTTATGTTCTACAAGGCTTCGTGTCTGTCTTGGTGTCAAGTAAAAAATATATAGTGAAAGAATTTAAATCTTTGTGTAAGAATATAGAATGTGCCCTTTAAGAGAATTAATACTTATCGGGCTTAATTTACACGAAATAGAATGGAAAAAACAGTTGCTAACGTAAAAAAATTCAACGTTCGAACAACCAATCAGGATCGAGATAACGACACTACGTCACTAGCAGGTATCCCATTGAATAGGAAAAAAAATATTTATGTATTTAAAGGCATAATTAATAGAACTGAGGTATTAATTCGCTTGGGAGAAGCGTAAAAAATCGCAGTATGATTATTGATTATAAGACGCTTAATTAATTTAGGTAATGTATGCATATTGAAATTAGATAAATAACCTGTGTTCTGGAATGCAAAAGTATTGAAGTAAAGATATTTATTTGTCTAGAAAAATAGTAAGAAATCGTCACACTATCATTGACGATAATGATGCTTAATTAATGTTTGCAGTGTGCTAATTGATATAAAAAAACGAATTCATTAAAAAGCAAACATAATGGTGAAAATATAATTATTTATTTTGAGAAATCGCTATATTATTATTGACTCTAATGCGTTATTAATATTGATAATATGTATTTTATTTTATTTTATAACCGTCGTTAAACGGCCGACCCAATTTTATGGGTCTACGAATACTAATGTTCAACTCCGTAGCCTTGTAATTTTGAACCCAATCCAGAAGACAAGGTAACTCCTGGATCAAGTATTGGGTGACATTTTGCCTTCGTGGAGGACTTTTTGATGGAGCTAACACGCATTTGCGTTACATGGAGAAGAAGACAACGAGTCCCTCCCACGGTTAGCCTGACGGCAAGGGGACTCTAACTCATGATCCGTCTACCACTGAAGATATTTCACGTTAATACTATGGTCGGTGCAAGCCGGATGCGGAATTCGTATCGACTAGGATTCGAACCCGGTTCGCCTCACTGGAAGGCGAACGCTCTATCCCCTGAGCTATCTCGGCTCTGATAATCTATCTATATATATATTTCTCTTACACGGCGATAAAGCGAGCAGGGGGCGCAGCCCACTAGTATTATATAAAACGCTAATACGTATGTATGTATGTATGTATGTATGTATGTATGTATGTATGTATGTATGTATGTATGTATGT